TGTCAAAGAGTATTTGATATTTAGCACATTTCGCATCGAATCGACTGTCATGGTTGCCCAACCACCATTGAAATGCCCGCGGAGCTATGATAAGAACATTCGCAAAGCTTGTGCGAAAAAACACGTAGATTTACGTGACCGGTTGTTAAGCAAGAATCTGAAAAATACGTTGTCGTACGTGACCGATGGGGTACGTGTTCAGCAGACGGACACGCAAAAATGTACGGATTGAATTTAGACAAAAAGGATACGAATTGGCGTTTTTAACACCGACAGGATTTATGATGGAGGCTCCGTGAAAATCTGCAGACCAGGCGGACAGTCCGGCGGCAGTGAATCTTCGCGAGTCAAGTAAACGAAAATAAAAAAGAACGTGAATTTCTAATTTTAATTCGTTGAGAAAAAATCCATACTTAAATTTATTAACATCTGAATTAATGTTGAAAAGCTATGAAATAATGAATTAAAATTTACAATATAAAACTGTGTTACTACAATAAACTATTGTAAATATAAAATAACGTGTAGCGTTAGACTCGAAGGATGATCAATCTCGATTTTCTTCAGTGTAATATGAAACGTATGCAATTTTTATAAAGAATCGTATACTAGTTACTTCGCTTGTTTTCCTACAAAGCGTGGGAAAATGAAAAAAAACTTGAAAACAATGAATCCATATTCTTTGGGTTTACGTAATATCGAGAGCCGATGTAATTGCATGTAATTGTTTTTAACAGATAACAGCGTGTCAGGGAATGCACGGTTCCAAGGCAAAAAGAATCGCGTTAAAGTTTCAAACGCAAAAAACCTGGAGCAAGGAACTCGATACCCTTTTTGTCAAGACTAACTTCTAAGCGTAAACTAAAACCGACTTTCGCGACTACAGCAATATAAATCTGATTCCAGATCAAATTCAAGTAATAAAAATTAACCCCTTGAACGACAATTTATTTTCAGTCAGCACTTGAAAAAGAGGAAAGTTTATGACGAACTGGACTCGTCATTTCCGTTCAAGGGGTTAAACAATAATTATATTTAAAAACGATATAATCCTTGAGTCTTGTGCTTGTTTTATTATATTGTTGCTTTAGTTTCAAGTATAAAAATCTGTTGAGTAAAGAACGGTGAGATCGTCACGGATGTAAGTTTGAATTCCAATCCCGTCACGCTTCGAGCAAGAAAGTTCGTTCGCATAAACTAGCAACAAAGTCAACGAAAGGAAGAGGTAAAAGACAAGTGAAAGGCCGTGAAATTCTCTAGCTGAACTCGGTTCCTGTTCGGAACCTGGAAAAGTTTAATCCCTGATCGCTCTCGTTAATAACAAACATTTTTATCGAAAACTATCTAATAATCTCAAATGCATGATTATCAATATTGCAAGGGAAAAGCCAGAGCGAAGCGAAGAAGAAAGGAGGAAGTGAAAGGGGGAGAAAAAAATGAAATAGAGAAAGGGAACAGTGCATCGTCTCGTTGATCCCACGCTTTTGAAAAATCGGAAACGATAAGTCCGGCGGTCGGACGATAATGCTGGCCGATATATGGAGCGAGTTATCTGGTGAAAAATGCGAGACGAAGAAAGGAGGAAGTGTCGACGAGTGAAAGGCGTGATTGGAAAATTCAGTGGCTCGGAGATTACTTCTCGGACGCTCTCGATGCACGTGCACATCGTATCGTGTCTGCGTCACGTAACCACTTCTATCTTGATTCGTTCTAACTACCGATACTCGCTCGTTCGCTGTTCAACGAGCTTTACGAGACCCAATATTTGAATAAGTGTATTTTGACCCCGAATTAAAATTAAATTATGATCGACGTTAAACGCTACTGCAACAGGTCTCCGTGTAGAGAACATCTTTTGAGAAATTCAACAGAATCGATTATCGAGTTTTCCATCGAGAATGCTTGGATTAGGATAAAGCATCGCGACTTGTAACCTTCAACGACGATCACGGATGAATCCGAAGGAGAATTAAATACGAAAACTAGAATAATGCGATTAATTTCACGACTGGCGAAGGCGTAAAAGTGTGCCACCGGGATTATGCTAACGTACAAAAACAGCCTGTTGCATTCGTGCCTCCGGGTCGTGAACGGGATTTCGTAATCGTTATAATATACTATACTAACGCCCATCGATTTCTGACGAATCAATTGAATTCTTTGAAAAAATTAATCTAAAGAAAACAGCAATGGCATAGAAAAAATTCTTATAATCGCAGAATTGATCTTCCTGAAATATCAAATAATTTTTTACTGTCATAATTGAAGATGCAATCAGATGAATCTGTAATTAAACTATTCGTGGCAAAAATGGACTGTTGTTACGCCTTAACGAGAGTCCGCTTGACATTCTGCAGCGCGTCGCGATCGAACGGCAGACACAAATTAAATAATCTTATCTGCGCGACGAGCTGCGTGGTCAAGATTAAAAAACGAGACGCGGCCCGTCTATCGCGTTACCCATTGTGCACCCGGGTTCCGCACGGAGGACGTGTGCATATTACTTAATACGATCCCGGGAACGCTCGGCCGCCACGTAAAATGTAGAAAGAAGCGAATAAAGACGCCATTTAGAGGCAATTTCGCGTTGCATAATCGCGTCTACTTGTCGAAAGTTAGTAATACTCGACAGTGACGCACGGCAATCGTGGAAAACTTTAGTGAAAATTTGCAATCTCGCGCGCTGTTCAGCTATTAATTGAGATTTACGTACGACTAAACGTTTACATTAAACGATCGAATAAATAAGTATCCTTTATTTGATCGACAAACATTTGTCATCCGCGTGGCTGATGAAAAACGTATCGGTGGACCAACGGGGAAGCGAGTGCAGCACTCGACGCTTTATTGCGTGGCACTCTTTGTTCCAGCTGAAAGTAGCGTTTATTGCGCCAAGGACGTACGTACACTTTCACGTTAGGCCGAATATAGAACTCGCTGGTTCGCGGAACTCGCGAGAGGAAGCAATGAAAATCGTACGTAAACATCCTGGAGAAAACGTAAGTAAAAAAAAAAGAAAAAAACGAGGCGGTAAAATATGCAAGCGCATAGTTATCCAAAATGAATTCCACGTCCTGGAAAATATGCAATAATTTCATAGATATTTTTAGTGTCCACAAGGGAATTCCATTATATCATTCTGAGAAGTCGAGCACGAAGTAGGAACGCGTAAAATCGCCATGCGATTTGTCGCGAGGAACTTTACGATTCGCGAATATTTCCGTAACACCAACGCAATGCGTAAGAGCCGGATATTCTATGACGAACGTTGCACAATCGACGCGAATTCCTACGTGTTGTTTCTCGCCAGATGGAACTGAACGTGGAATGACGTTATTCGAAACCGAGCTAACATGCAAATTTCGTTTTACCGTGTCTTTCTAATCATTGATAACCGTAGTGTTGTACATAACGTAGGTCTAAGAGTATTTAACAATGCGATAATAACACGCGATATTTTGAACTTCTACCTACAATTATAGTAATCTTTACGGTAAATTTCAGTTTCAGTCTGCTTTTACAATTTCGATCGGACGAGATAACGAGGAATTCGTTAACAGAAATCATGTCAATTATTGATAATTAATCTGTACATGAATCGAGCATTAACGAGTGATAAATAATTCGACAAGTGGACATAAATAAAAGTAATATAATTAATTACATCATGAAATTTAATGGGCATCGAGCAGTTTCTCAAGTAATACTATTCTCGTTTGAATTTATTTCTCATAAATGATCAATTAAACTTGTAACATGCCATTAATCGACGAATTAATCCGGGGAACAGCCCAATTATTTAGAACAGTGCATTACACGAATTATACTTAAGTGGAGATCAACTACTGTTTCATGTAGTACAATTTATAACTTATAACTAACAGATTAAACTCGTGACGTATTAATAACCGACCCATTAATCCTGGAAACAGCTGAATTATTATTATTTAGAACAGAAACTGAATTATTATGTACATTGCACGCTCGTGTATGATACAAAATTATTGCGTGCAATGTTGCCAGCGTAGAACAGGATGCGATAAAATCCGAGAGGATAATAATCGATAGTCTGGCCGTCGCGACCAAGATTCTAATCAGCGAGCATCTCCCAAGTTTCCGTATGTACTTATACGATAATTACGTTTAACAGGTAGATTAGTCAGCGAATTACGCCCACCGGTGTCTGAGAAGAGCGCGCGCGAGTTCTTGACCTTGGTCAATCTGAAAATTCGCTCGACGCGAAACCTCAAACAAATCATAAACGCTCGGGAAGCCAGTAGTCGCGTCATGAATTCCGCGATGCTAGTGTACATAGAAGACGCAACGCGAGGAAGCCGTGTAATCTAACTCGGCGAGGAGAACGAGTTTCGCAATAACCGCAGTGAAAGACAGGCTCTGGCCGACGTAAATAAAACCGTGAAAAAGCCGTGGCGTGTCCGCGGGCAGAATCGATGGGATACCATCGGATTTCAGTCGCCAAGGCTCTCAGCGAAACGAGGGGAAACACCGTCAATAAAAAGAGCGAAAAAATAGCGTGCAGGGAAAGGGAGAAAAGGACTTATGAAAGGTCGCGCGGCTGCGCGCTAGCGCACGTTCTAGAAAGAGCGCGTCGGTTCGTATATCCGCGTTCACGGGCGTGTAAATTGTTTTCGAGACTCGCTAGTTGCCCCGAGTTTGACGCGTGTTTCGAATACGAAAACCAGGCGAGGAGAATCGGTCGACGCGGTATGAAAATTTCTTAGGGGACGCGGGTTACGGCGCATGGAAACTGCGCGCGGTCGACTACGCAGTTTTCTAGAATCGTCGCTTGCGCCCGAGCGCTGCAGCGCATTGGTTCACGCTGTAAATTGCCCCGATCGAGGCAGACTAGTGCGACGCGGTAACGCGAATCACGTTTGAAAATGGATCACGGGTGATCGATGGAGCGAATTCCGTATTGGAACGCGCGTCGCCATATACGGGTGGCAGCCCGAGCCGGGTAACGTCAGGTTAATACTTACGTCTTGTAATGAGCCTCTCCGAGCTTGTCGTCGGGGACGCGGTGACACAGTACGCCTCACTGATGCTCACCGACGTCGATGCACGGTTACATGTATCCGTTGATATCGAGGGACTCGTCTCTCCTGTCCACTCAGTCGCGATTGCGATTTACTTGCATATATGACCCCGTCGCCCGGCACTGACACGTGAAGTTTACGACCGGCGACGACGTACCGATATCGCGATACGCAACAGTAAAATCGTCACGAATGGTAGCTGAGAACTCGAGTTTTCTTACGACCCGGTCACGCGCACTTGTGGATCGTCACCAGGTCTGTGTTTACGAGTAGCTCGGATCACCGAGAAGAGGGATAGAAACGCTGCCCGTCGTCGTTGACGGGCAGACGGGAGAAACGAGTAATAGGGAAACGGATTAAAATCGCAGTTCCTGCTCCTGATCGATTCCCGATCCTCGTATTAAAGCACCCCTACGTAACTAAACGTTTGCCCTCGCGGCACGGATGTAAACACACAATGGTTTGAATTCGGGGTGGACGATACGAATTTACTGTCAATCGACGGAGCGCGAAGGAGAACTGTCGGACAGAAAGCCGAGTCTACGCGTGAACGATACCTCGAATCGCCGCGGCGAGCCAACTGACACTGACAGCCGCATTCAACTCGAGCGCGCACGCACTCTGCCAGCCCCCACTTCTCTCACCTTTCCTCTTACTATGGATACCGAACTCTCCCCGCTCTCCAACCCCTGATATAATACTATACGTATCGCGATAGTAAACGTCATCTGAACGGGTTGCTCTTCCCTTCTTCGAGCCGTTTTACACGCGCTCCTGAGTCACGATTCGGCTCCGATTTTCACGCGTTGCACACGCGTGCCCGCCGTTAAAACACACGCTCGTGCCACGAAAATCGCCGGCCGGCGTCGGTGACACGAGTTTACGTAAGCCGATATATTTTTAAATTCAAATCCACGACACGAACCGATGAATCACGTACGATTAATACCGACACATTTCAAAATTTAATGCGATGCCTATTGGACATGACTAAGGGAATCTCGGACGACTTACTTTTATTCCGACTGCAGCAAAAACTGTACAGAGGAAAATGCATTTAATTCTTATCTGAGAGTTACGCAACGCGACGCCGACGATTTCTGCCGCGTACGCGCATCTGTCAGTGCATTATCTTTTTTGCCCGCGAAAAATCCTCGTGACATTTCATCTACGAGCCGGTTTCCGGTGTGCGCGCATTTATCGTACACACACGCGCGCGTACAAACACGAGTGCAATTTTCCATCGACTTCTAGAACCGGCCCTGCCATGCTCTATAGACCGCCCATAGTATTTACTTATGGCAGATCCCGATAGTTCCATCGCAATCAGCTGAATACTTGCAGACCGGGGGACGAAACTTACTCGAGAGTTATCGGCCTACTTTTCTTCTCGCCGGTCAGGAATTTTCTACTACCGTCCGCTTCCGTCCTCGAGCCCGATAGATTCCCGACGCGGAAAAAGGAAGAGGATAATTAATGCAATTAAGATGCGACATAAACGTTCCGGGGTTTAATCTCCGATGCGAAAACGTCTGACCAACGTCACTCTCCTCTGTTCTCGCGTATTTTTCTCTTTGCGTAACGAATACATCATACGTGTATTCTGATAATGTTCGTGCGATAAAACTTTATCAGTAGCGGCAACGAGTTCGTCACGAGCGAACCTACGCAAAATTCTCTTTTAATTTCTCCGCCGAGGAGAGGAACGAGCGTAATAAAAAGCAGCAAACGTAACGCGTACGCACCGCTGGGTTCAATTAGTTTACGCGGAGAAATCGACGTGCCTGAACGCGATTTTTCGCACCGAAAGACCGCGCGCTGCGTAGTCCCGCGCGAATCAATAAAACTTCGAAGGTCCCCATAGTCCATGGAAATATTTGTAATCTTCTAAATAGAACAAGTGCAATTTTAAAAGAAGACTGGATTAAATGCTTATAAATATGGTAATGGCGCATTAACGGTGATGGAATAAATTCTTCCCTCATTTCCTGTGATTATCGATGCACGGCTTTCAAACGGCTGACAACGCGATGCGAGCGTACGAACGAATATATCCGCGCGGAAAGCTGCTCGTTATCAGATGTAATGATAAAGATAGTAGAACGGACGTCAGTGGCTGCTAATTTATCACAGGATAAAACGGACGAGGCTGATTCTCAGGGTAGCGAGCTTTCGACTTTTCCACGGGGGGAAGAAAACGCGCCGAGTTCCAAAGACATTTTTAGGTCAAACAGTTATCGCAGGTTATTGACTCTGCATCAGATCGTTACTTTCACGTCATAGTATTGGTCTGCGCTGCATTTAAAGGGAAGCCACGGTTTATCTATTCTCGGGTGCATCGACGAGAGTCGATAGGAAAGTGTCTGACTCGTTCATAAACTTTCGATCATTATATGTATTGAAATGGTTGACAGAGGAAAACGTTGTTTTGATAACAAGTTCGTAGGAACAGCGGGATAGTTTCCTGGGGAAACACTATTTGAATATTCAATCGGCAGCTCGATTAATTAGAAGATATCGCGCCGTTTCTTATCGAGTAACGAGTATACGCGTGCTCTGCTAGTTGGAATGTTTGTGTAAATTTCTGGCAGAACTGGTCGTTCCGGTAGTTACAGAGATAACGTCGCGTTTATGTAGCGTCACTGCGATCAGCAGGAAGTCGTCAAAATTTAATAAGAGCTGTGAATATTCTATGTGTGTTTAGAAAGAATTCTTTTAATTTAGAAGTCGGATTACAGATAATATAAATAAGGTCCCGTGTTTAACCCTTTTAGTACCGAACGACGATATATCGTTGTTCAAATTTTCAATAAATAATGAAACACAATCCGTAACGTTTTATTCTCCCTTTATTTCCGAATATGCTGCTTTTTATATTTTGTAAATATCACTTCTACTTTCGTTTTTACGAGCATTTTCGCAAACCTCTGCAAATTCGCCGATTCGGCCCGCTATTCTTCGCTTATTGTTAGGTACGTTCTTTTCGCCGGTACTCAAAGGGTTAAATAAGCTTAGTATTTAAATAAGATTGTTATTAGGACGTCGACGATTTTATTAGTTTCAGAGAGAGAAACGTTTAACTTCGCTAAACATGTACGGACAAACGAAAGGCAAACATGTGCTAAGCAGGAGCAACGTTTCTTTAGGTAAGAGCAAAGGCCTGTTTCTAGGGATTTACGAGAGGGTCGATCGTGAATAGGGGATGACGCTAAACAGACTCGTCCTCAATGAGTTACCCACCTGGACGTCTCTTTCAAGAGTGATGAAAGTTAGGAACGGCGTGCAACAGGTCACGACGTAGTTTTAAAAATAAGGATATTGTTCTTGCAGCATCTGGCCAGGCAATAAAGAAGCACTATTATGCCGTTTCACGATGGGATCGTAAGGGGTACTTGAGAAATTCCGAAGAAATACGTACTCGCGCAGATTTTTTTAGTGAAAGGCCCGAAGTGGGATCCCTTTGAAGAAGGGGCAGATGAATTATGGCGCAATTGAAAATTTTCAAGGAACATGCGAATGTTTTTGAAAATGTGGCGAACACGTGAGTTGCGACGACGGTGCCGTAAAGAGTCTTCTCTCTAATTTATTATCCCAATACTGGCTGATGGTTTTCTTTTTCGGTCGCGAAATTAATTCTTTTGGGACAAATAAACTACTCGGGTCGCCGTCTCAAGATAAACGGCCGAGCGAAACGAAACGAACGGCAGAGCATCGACGTTCGGACCAACACTCGCGGGCACACGGACGAAGTGAAGGTGTCGGTGTCGATGACGTAACACGCGGCAACCGCGGTGTACAGCCATAAAGAAGTGGAAGTGGGGCTGTGCTCGGTAAAGGTGGGCCGATCGACGGTAGGGGAGCCGGTCGTCACACATACACCGGACTAGAGTGCATCGAGCGCGCGCGCAAGCGCAGCGACGCGCAACGCTGCGCTCGGTGCCGTGGTTGCGCAGTCGCCGCGGTGACCGTCAAGGACGTTCGGGACGCCGGCCGTCGGACAGAGACGGAGAGCGACAGTTAGTAGCGAATCACTCGAATAACTCGAGATAGCATGTACTTACGTACCCTGGTATAAAATAATTATGCGCTCAGTCGCATTCTTTTCATACGAATAATTTTAGCAAAAATGATGTCTCAACGATTCGGTGGGATTATGTAAAGGGTTAGATAATTCCGTAACGTTGAGAAAACGGTGACCGGTGTCACCGACGTCTCGCGTTATAAAACGTGACGTCTTTGTCACAATGGATTTCGGTAGATTCGCTTGCAGCTGCAAGTCGTAGATCGCGAGATATCGTGAGGGGGAGGGAGGTAGAGAGGGGGTGATATAAATATCTGGGAAAGTACTGGCCGGCTATAGTTTGGGGAACAGATGCACGTGAAAGTTTTAGATCTTTCGTTAACTCCTATCCACCGTGATCGATGTCGTTACCGCTGCGAATCTTAACTCGCAGGAACTCTCTTATGTACATATAAGTAATATCTCGTACGTTTTCTTTTTAAGAACCCTATGGTATTAGCGCAGGTCGTAGACTCGTTAAAAATCGCTTAATCATTAGCGAATTCCTAGGAGATTACAAGAGCGAAATCGTTGGAGCTTTCACAAGCGCCTAAATTTCCCAACCGATATTCCGTTAATCCGCCTACGTATCTACTCGAAATTTCTTGACGTAACGCAAATTAGATTTCGACGAATGTGAAACCGAGTAAATAAAATGGGACGGACACAAGCGCAACGAAAACCTTGTAGTTGAACAGACGTTTTAAGTGAAACGCGTGGGAGAGATAGGGGGAGGGACAGAGAGAGAGAGAGAGAGAGAGAGAGAGAGAGAGAGAGAGAGAGAGGGGAAAGATGTAACCAGAATACGTGCACAGGTATATCGAGGTAGGAGCGAGAGGAAGGAGGCTCGAAAGAGATGCGAACAGATAGAGAAAGCGAGGGTGTAGGACGGAGAACTAGACGGAGAGCGAACGAGAGGGGACTCGAGCAGCTCTACGAAACGAGAGAGACAGACAGAGAGTGAAAGAGTTCGCTTTCCGTCTACCGCACCCGCGGAGTCGTCGAATTCGAACTCGATCGGCCTCGAGCGGCCTTGGATGTGTCTATGGTCGTAACGCGAAACAAACTCGAGCAGCGGTGGTTTCACTTTCGTGATATCACCGTTCCTAGTTTTTTTTCGTACACGGATCCTACTCGTTACCAACGTTTCCTCGTTACTACACACGTAATCTGATTCAAAAGTAACGAGACTGATTAGGAGTTCGGAGGACTATCAATTCCACATCGGACAATGTCTGAACTTACGCTGTATCGCTTGTGCAATCATTTTTTTTTTAATTAATATGTGATTTATTGCTGCGATATCGACGCGGTATTAGAAAGTATTCCGATCGAATATGTGCGTACACTCTTGCCCGTAAGTTACCGGCTCCCGACGCTAATAAATACAACATTCTGAATTAATAATCGTACATTATTTCCTGTATTTATTGTGTCATTTGTCATTTTGAATAAATTAATTCCAATTTGCCAGGATGCAAGCGAAAATTTATAATGCCTTTGAATGAAATCAATAAATAAAGGGATTATGTA